CCCAACAACCGGGAGTGGCTCTTCTGTAAAAAGAGAGAATGAAGGGGGGTTGGCGTGGCGCTGAGGTATTGGAAGCTGCGAGTCCCAGGCTGCTTTGGGCATGCCTCTCGATCAACGTATGTGCATATTTCGCGGGGGAAGGACAACAAACTAAACACAACAAAAGCATTCCTAAAAAAATGAGTTTTAAATCGAGATTTAAAGATGTATATCTCCACAGTGGCTTCCTCATGTAAGAAAGAAGAACGTTCTAGACGACCGCAACAGCGCGCCGGAAGGCGAGCGATGCAGTGTCCATCTTTGTTCAATTGCTCGCCAAAAGCTGCCGTTGTGAGGATGACCGGAGTTCACTTGATGATCAGCAAGATGGTGTGGTTCATCAATGGGAGGTGAGGAATGGTGGTGGTGACTTACATCCCCACCAAAGATGAACATCAGTGGAGGAATGCAGGCAAGGCTGATGAGTCCGATACTTTTGCCTCATGTCATATGTGCTGGATACCTTGGCCCCTCAGGATAGTCATCCTTTTCGGTGACTTTAATGCCCGAGTGGGTCATATACATGCACCTGGAGTGATTGAGAGGCATGGGCCAGGTTAGCTCAATAACAATGGTAGGAGGCTGCTAAACTTCTGTGCAGCCCATGGGCTTGTAATGACCAACACGCTGTTTCGTCATTGGCACTTCAACGCAAGATCATGGATGCATGCTGGGTCCAAGTGTAAAGAAGCTCCTTTATTTGCCGAGAACTTATTTACAAAGGCAAGAGTACCACTATTAGCTCACGATGGCTATGACTATCTACAGCCCCGTTGGTTCCCACTCGATTAACTTAAACAGTCTATCTAGATGTTTTCTACGATGTAGATCTTGAGCAGTCAGCTCCAATATCGTCCACCTCGAGTCGTCGATCAGTCCCCGAGCAAGCACCCTGACTGCAGGCCACGCTGCCCTTACCCGCTCGGTCACGGCCTTCTCGAACCCTGGAAACTTCCAGCACTTTCCCCGGGAAATGCTTCCAGCAGTCTCTACCAACTTCTACTTCCCTTCTCGAACCTTCCCTCGTACAGTACCCCCTCCACCTGTTTCCACCCATCTCCACTTACCCTGCTATAACCTTTGACATGTACAGTACCCAACACAAGCAAGAACACCTGTTGGACTATATAGCGATCGAACAGCGAATGCGGGCCCGTATCATTGACACCGGGACCTCCCGTTGAGTGGATCTGCCCACTGACCATCGGCTTGTCATCTGTAAGATGGACCTGCCGTTCTTCCACTGCGGTAGTGCGGGCATCCACCTCAGAATCCATTTAAAACCACAGTGGATGGTCGAAGAGCGACACTCACATCAAAGAGCAGAGTGCCGGTCAGCTACAAATCGGCAAATCAGCACATCAGGGAGCACAGGTGGTGCATCTGCCAGTTATCTCGGTCAGTCAACTCCATGGCATCTGGGTCTGTCCCGTGACCTCCTGCACGTAGCCTGGCACATTAGGCAGCACAGGTGATGCATCTGGCAGTCATCTAGGTCAGTCAACCCCATGGCACCTGCTGCGTCTGTCCCATGACCTGCCAGCAGCCAGCCTTCTACGCTTCAAGGTGGCCTCAAAGTGGACCTGGCCTGGCACATGCGCCGCCGTGACGTCACCGCCACTTGGTGGCTAACGGCAGTTGTTGTTGTGGTTAGTGGGGAGTGGTGGTGCAGTGGTTAGCGCACTGCGTTACGAACCCGGCGACCCAAGTTGGAGTCCCTCTTTTGGCTAACACCAGTTACAAACATCTTAACCAGACATGGGCCTTCCTTAGATCAACTCAGCTTTAAATGAGTACCTGGTGGGTTTGTAAAAATCAGCGCTGGTTTCACAGCAACTCTGAGTGTAGATTTATGTTTAAGTCAATGGTGACCGCATTGAGAGCATCGACTGACTACACTAGTTAAGCCAGTTTATTCACAAGTAAGTGTCTCTGTGTGAGTGTCGGTCTTTGTGTGCGTCCTATGGGTCTCTGCACGAGTGTATGGCTCTTTGTGTGAGTTTGTGGCTCTTTGTGCGAGTCTCTGGGTCTTTGTGCGAGTGTATGGTCCTTGTGTGAGTCTAAGGGGCCCTGTTTGAGGTTATGGGTCTCTGCGTGAGTATGTGGATCTCTCTGTGAGTCTATAGGTCTCTGTGTGAGTCTTTGGTTTTCTGTGAATCGATGGATCCCTATGTGACTTTATGGGTCTGTGCGAGGTTATGGGTCTCTGCGTGAGTATGTGGGTCTCTCTGTGTGAGTCTATGGGCCTCTGTGTGAGTCTAAGGGTTTCTGTTTGAGTCTATGGGTCTCTGTGTGAGTCTGTGGGTCTCTTTGTGAGTCTGTGCGTCTCTGCGTGAGTTTATGGGTCTCTGCGTGAGTCTGGGTCTCAAGCTTCGCTGACCTCTGAGCCAGAGCGACGTTTCAATGCGAACCTCCAATAAGTGTGGGCTGAGGGGTTGCGTGGGGGGGTCCCTATCGGGGCGTTTGTCCAGGGGACGGGATGGCTGTGGGGGGATCTCCTCCTTGGCCTGTGCTCTGGGACACAGTGAAGGAAACGCTGAATCGGCAGATGGGCGGGTGCTGGCCTTCTTTATTTTTGGCAATGCAATCAAAGGGAAAAGTGATTTCACTCCCTGCCCTGCTACCCACTCCCACACCCCATAATGAGTTCCACACCAGAGGCCACGGCGGCTGTGGCTTTTGGTCTGGCCCTTGGCGCCACGTGGTGGCATCTGCCGCCGCCGCTGCCGGGACTCACGACCACCGGTACAGGGGCCATCATCGCCGCCTTCCAGCCATGGTCAATCCACTGCTGGATGAAGGCAACCCACCTACCCGCCGCTCACTTATTCACCCACTCGCTCTGCTAAAAAGTCACCCACTCGCCCATTTAACCATTCGCTCATTCATCAACCATCTCAGCTACTCACTCAATAGTGCAACTACCTGACACCCGTTCACTCACTCTCCCACTCACCTATATCGCCACACACTCACTCACTTAGCTATGTACACACATTATACACATTTTAACAACTCACTCACACACTTGCTCATCCATTCACCGAATCACTCGCACACTCATCCACTCACACACTCAAAGACAAACATTTCCTGTATAGCCTTAATAGACTGTTGTGGCAAGTGCTGCTAGCAAGCACCTATGAAGGCCGGCATGGTACACGAGGGGGTGATTGTCCAGCACCACGCCCGGCCGCCTTTGTCTCCCTAGTGGCGATGTTTATGCATTACACCAGGCAATCATTTGATTCGACCTAGGGGAGGCCCATGACCGGTTCAGATTAATCGTCGCTGGTTGTTGGCCGTGAGCAGGAATCGAACTAGGGTCGCCGGGTTCGTAGCGCAGCACGCTAGCCGCTACTCCACTGCTACCCACACGCACCCTGCACACCCTCACACTCATCCACTGGTGTCAGTGATTAGCAGTCGCTGTGACTCACTGGCACGTATCCCGCCGTGAGGGTGCCACGTGTCTCTGAGCTGGAGCCAGGCTCAGCGAAGCTGCGTCCGTCTTTGAACGCCTCGAGCCGGCTGACAGCGGCCGAGATTTGCGCGCCCCGCCAATCGCGAGGCGCTGAGCGCCAGAGCATCGTGCCTGGCGATGGCAACAACCAAGAAGGCACCGCCGCCGCTGCTGCTGCCGCTGATCCCCCCACCCCTCGCCCAAGACGTTTGAATGGAGTAACGCCTTTGGACATCTCAAGATTTGCCAATGACGCAGTCGTTATCGCCACCCAATGTAAACTAAAAACTCAACTTTATTTATTTTACCCAGGTAAGACCACACTGGAACTGTCGCTTTTTTTCAGAAGCGACCCGTGGCTATCACATATGATAGCCCAACGAAGCAGGCTTATCATCAAGTGGACATTTATCGCAGCCAAATACTCTTATCGCGAGATGTTGAGTCTAAATGTGGATGGAAAAACCTAAGGATCCGAAGAAATATCCACACAACGTTAGGGTCTGGATCGAACCCACGACCTCCTCCATACCAGGCGACACAGTTAACATCTCGCCACTCTGACACCACTTCAACAAGTGTTGTTAGCGAGCACCTATGAAGGGGGTGGGTGGCCAGCACCACGCTCGACCGCCTTTGTCTCCCCACTGGCGATGTTTTACACACCGCACCAGGTACTTATTTGAGGCTGAGTCGACCTACGGGAGGCCTAGGACCGGTTAAGATAATCGCCACTTGTTTTGGCCATGGCACTACGGCTCCACACATTATCATCACCACCACTACCACCACCTCCTCCTGCACCACCAGGCTAAGGCAGCACTGCAGGGAATGAGTGGAGAAGTCTTCACACTTGGTCGTTGGGATCGTTTGCCGAGAAAATATAACAGGCATAGATCAAGATGAGAGATGTCGGTAACAAGGTCGGTGATTATGAGACTGCTGAGATGTCGAGACACCGCCTGTCAATGATAGATTGAGACTCGCACTGAGATTGAAACCTCATTCCAATGACAGTGAGATGTTGAGACACTAGATTCAGATCTCATAGCAATGACATGTTGAGACTGACATTATTAAGATGTATCATTACAATGATAGTGACATACTGAGCCCCTGATATTAAGATCGCATAATGACATGGAGATGTTGAGACGGAGATTCAGATCCCATCACAGTGACAGTTGTTGAGACTGGGATCTGGAGACTCTGCGACGTTGCAATATCTCTACTGTCGGCCACTATCTCTTGGATGCTGTCCACATTGACGGGTTTGGAATTTTAATCATCCTCATCGTCACTGTTATTATTTTCTCGCTTGTGGGTAAGCTGCAGGCGCCATGAGCCGTTCTCAATTGATGCCATGTGTGTGTGTGGTGGAGTGGTGAGGTAAGAGGGGAGGGGGGAATGGGGGCGCAAAGGAGACCCCAGCTGATCTCAGACCCTGGAGCAGTAGCCACGGAGACATCGATCAGCACCCAGCAGCAGGGTACGTGCCTCGCAGACTTCACCACAAACTGCCAGACGGGAATCAGGGATTAAAATCCAGCAAGTTAGAGGATTGTGAGAAATATTTAAATGATGTTGAAGCACTGATGGCAGAACGCGGCAGGCGGGAAGAAAATATAAATAACTGCTCACCAACGGGGGGAATGGGGCGGCCACAAGTTCGGCTCTTTGGAGTTGGTGGACGAGACAAGGCTGGTCGTGCGCACGCAAGTCGTGACTCCTGCTGTCTGAACAGCAGCAGCAGCGTCGAGTGACTGATGTGCTAAGTAAGTGATGTGAACTCTAATGTGCTCTGGAAGGGCAAGAGAGTTGTAGTGAGTGATGGTAATTCTAATTATATTATAGAAGGGCAAGAGAACGGAGTGACTGAAGTGAACTAGAATGATGATCTCGAAGAGCTCGAGAGCTGAGCGACTGAGGTTAACTATAATGAAGCTCTAGAAGTGATAGAGATCTTGGTGACTGATGTGAGCACTAATGATGATCTAGAAGAATTAGAGAGCTGAGTGCCTTGTGTGAACTATAATGGTGTAATAGAAGGGCTAAGGAGCTGAGCGAATTATGTGAAATCTTATGATGCTCTAGAAGGGCTAGAGAGCTGGGCAAATGATGTGAATTCTAGCTACTCTAGATCGTGTTTAGAGAGCTGTGTAACTTATGTGAACTCTAATAATACTCTAGAAGAGTGAGTAATGTGAAATCTAATGGTGTTCTAGAAGAATAAGAGAGCTGAGTAACTGATGTGAACTCTATTAATACTCTAGAAGGGCTAGTGAGCTGAGTGCCTGGTGTGAAATTTAATGGTGCAATAGAAGGGTTAGATTGGTGAGCGATTGATGTGAAATCTAGTGATGTGCTATAAGAGCTAGAGAACTGAGTGACTGATGGGAACTCTACTGATGCTCTAGAAGGGCTAGAGAGTTGAGTGAGTGATGTGATGTCTAATGTTTCTCTAGAAGGGCTAGAGAGCTGAGTGACTGATGTGAACTCTAGTGATGCTCTAGAAGGGATAGAGAGCTGAGCGACTGTGAACTATGATGATGCTCCAGAAGGGCGAGAGAGCTGTAATGAGTGATGTGAACTCTAACCACGCTCTAGAAGGGCTATAGAACTGAGTGACTGATGTGAACTCTAATAATGCTCTATACGGGCTAGAAAGCTGTGTGCCTGGTGTGAACTCTAATTCTGCTCTAGAAGGGCTAGAGAGCTGGGTGCTGGTGTGACCTATAATCGTGTAATAGAAGGGCTAGAGAGCTGAGCGATTGATGTTAACTCTAATAATGCTCTAGAAGGGCAAGCAGGTTGTAATGAGTGAAGTGGACTCGAATGATCCTCTAGAAAGGCGAGAGAACTGAGTGACTGATGCTATCTCTAGTGGTGCTCTGGTAGGCCTAGGGAGCTGAGCGACTGATGTCAACTTGAATGGTCCTCTAGAAGGGCTAGAGAGGTGAGCGACTGATGTGAACTCTAATTATGCTATAGTAGGGCTAGAGCGCTGAGCGAGTGATGTGAACTCTAATGATGCTATAGAAGGGCTGGAGAGCTGAGTGAGTGATGTTAACTCTAATGATGCTCCAGAAGGGCTAGAGAGCTGTAATGAGTGATGCGAGCGCAAATGATGCTCTAGGATGGCTAGAGAACTGAGTGCCTGATGTGAACACTAATGTTGCTCTAGACGGGCTAAATAGATTATTGAGTGGTGTGCACTCTAAATATGCTCTTGATGGGCTAGAGAGCTGAGTGACTGATGTGATCTCTAATGATGGTCTAGAAGGGCTAGAGAGCACCGACGAGGCATTATAAGGGCTAGAGAGCTGAGATAGGGATATGAACGCTAATGATCCTATAGAAAGGCTGCAGAGCTGAGCGACTGATTTGAACTCTAATGGTGCTCTCGAAGGGTGAGAGAGCTGAGTGAGTGATGTGATCTCTAATGATGCTCTAGACGGGCAAAATAGCTCACTAAGTAATGTGCACTTGAAATATGCTTGAGAAAGGCTAGAGAGCTGAGTGAGTGATGTGAACTCTAATTATGCTGTTGAAGGCCTATAGAACTGACTGAGTGATGGGAAATTGAAAAATGCTCTAGAAGGGCTAGAGAGCTCAGTGACGGATGTCAACTCTAATGATGCTGTAGAAGGCCTAGAGAGCTGAGAGCCCGGTGTGAAATTTAATGGAACAATAGATGGGCACCAGAGTTGAGCAATTGATCTGAAATCCAATGGTTCAATAGAAGGGCGAGAGATCTCATTAACTGAAGTTAACTCTAATCTTGCTCTAGAAAGCCTGGAGAGCTCAGTGAGTGATTTGATCTCTAATGATGCTCTAGAATGGCTGGAGAGCTGCGCGACTGATGTGAACTCTATTGATTCTCTAAACGTCTAGAGAGCTGAGAGCCCGGTGTGAAATCTAGTGGAGCAATAGATGCGCGACAGAGTTGAGCAATTGATGTGAACTCTAATGTTGCTCAAGAAAGGCTAGAGATCTGAGTGACTGAAATTAACTCTAATGATGCTGTAGAAGGGCCAGGGAGCTGAGTGAGTGATGGGAAATCGAATGATGCTCTAGAAGGTCGACATAGCTCAGTGCCTGGTGTGTAAAATAATGGTGCAATAGAAGGGCTTGAAAGGTGAGCGATTGAGGTTAAGTCTCACGGTGCTCAATAAGGGCTAGAGAGCTGAGTTAATTATTTGAACTCTAATAATGCTAAAGAACGGGTAGAGAGTTGTGCGACCGATATTAACTATAATGATGCTCTAGAAGGGCTAGATAACTGAGCGACTGATGTGAAATTTAACGATGCTCCAGAAGATCTAGAGAACTGTAATGAGTAACGTGACCTCTACTGATGTTCTAGAAGGGTTACATAACTGAGTGACTAATGTGAACTATAATAATACTCTAGAAGGACTAAAAAGCTGAGTGCCTGGTGTGAACTCTAAATATGCTCTAGAAGGGCTAGAGAGCTGTAAAATTGATGTCAACTCTAATGATGTTCTATACGATTTAGATAGCTGAGTGACTAATGTGAACACTAATGCTGCTGTAGACGGGTTAAAGAGCTGACTGAGTGATTTGCACTCTAAAGATGCTCTAGATGGGCTAGAGAGTTGAGTGAGTCATGTGATGTCTAATGATTCTCTAGAAGGGCTAGAGAGCTGCACTGAGTGATGTGAACTCGAATGATGCTCAACAAGTGCTAGAGAGCTGAGTGAGTGATGTGAACTCTAATGATGCTCTAGAAGGGCTAGAGAGCTGAGTGAGTGATGTGAACTCTAATGCTGCTCTAGAAGGGCTAGGGAGCTCAGTGACGGATGCCAACTCTACTGATGCTGTAGAAGGCCTAGAGAGCTGAGAGCCCGTTGTGAAATTTAATGGAGCAATAGATGCACGACAGAGTTGAGCATCTCGATGATGCTCTTGAAGGCCTAGAGACCTGACTGAGTGATTGAAAATCGAATAATGCTCTAGAAGGTCGAGATAGCTCAGTGCCTGGTGTGAAATGTAATGGTGCAATAGAAGGGCTAGAAAGGTGAGCGATTGAGGTTAAATCTGATGCTGCTCAATGAGGGCTAGAGAACTGAGTTACTGATGTGAACTCTTATGATGCGCTGATGGCTAGAGAGCTGAGTGAGTGATTGGAACTCTAATGATGTTCTAGGATGGCTAGAGAACTGAGTGACTGATATTAACTCATAATGCTCTAGAAAAGCGAGAAAGCTGAGGGCCTGGTGTCAACTATAATGATGCTCTAGAAGGTCTGGAGAGCTGTAAAGAGTGATGTGAACTCTAATGGTGGTCTATAAGGGTTAGATAGCTGAGCGACCGATGTGAACTCTATCGATGCTCTTGATGGGCTAAAGAGGTGACTGAGTGATGTGTATTCTAAAGATGCTCTAGATGGACTAGAGGGCTGAGTGAGTGATGTGAACTCTAATGATGCTGTAGAATGGCTAGACAGCTGTACGTCTTATGTAAACTCTAATGATGCTTTAGAATAGCTAGAGAGCTGAGTTAGTGATATGGACTCTCATGGTGATCTTAAGTGCTAAAGAGCTAACTGCCTGGCGTGAAATCCAATGGCACAATAGAAGGGCTAGACAGTTCAGTGATTGATGTGAAATTAAATTTTGCTCAAGAAGGGCTAGAGATCTCAGTGACTGGAGTTAACTCAAATGATCCTCTAGAAGGGCTAGAAATATGAGTGAGTCATGTGATGTCTAATGATTCTCTCGAAGGGCTAGAGAGCTGCACTGAGTGATGTGAACTCAAATTATGCTTTAGAAGGGCGAGAGAACTGAGTGAGTGATATGAAATCACATGATGCTCGAGAAGGGTTAGAGACCCGAGTGCCTGGTGTAAACTCAAATTATATTCTAGAAGAGCTAGAGACCTGTAAAGAGTAATGTGAATTCTAATGGCGGTTTATAAGGGTTAGATAGCTGAGCGATCGATGTGAACTCTATCGATGCTGTTGAAGGCCGAGATAGCTGACTGAGTGATGGGAAATCGAATAATGCTCTCGAAGGGCTAGAGATCTGAGTTAGTGATGTGATGTCTAATAATGCTGTAGAATGGCTAGACATCTGCACGTCTTATGTAAACTCTAATGATGCTTTAGAATGGCTAGAGAGCTGAGTTAGTGATGTGGACTCTCATGGTGATCTTAAGTGCTAGAGAGCTGACTGCCTGGTGTGAAATCCAATTGTGCAATCGAAGGACTAAACAGCTGAGTGACTGAAGTGAACTCAAATGATCCTCTAGAAGGGCTAGAAAGATGAGTGAGTCATATGACGTCTAATGATTCTCTCGAAGGGCCGGAGAGCTGCACTGAGTGATGTGAACTCGAATGATGCTCAAGAAGGGCTAGAGAGCTGAGTGACTGATGTGAACTCAAAGTATGCTTTAGAAGGGCGAGAAAACTGAGTGACTGATGTGAACTTTCGTAATGCTCTAGAAGGCCTATAGAGCTGAGTGAGTGATTTGAATCTCATGATGCTTTAGAAGGGCTAGATAACTGATTTACTGATTTGAATTCTACTGATGCTTTAGAAGGGTTAGAGACCCGAGTGCCTCGTGTAAACTCCAATTATACTCTAGAAGACCTGTAAAGCGCAATGTGAATTCAAATGATGTTCTATAAGGGTTAAATAGCTGAGCGACTGATGTGAACTCTAAAGATGATCTAGAAGGGCTATAGAGATCATTGACTGATGTGATGTCTAATTGTTATCTTGAAGGGCTAGAGAACTGAGTGAGTAAATTG